AGATAACAATTCTGAATTAGTTGGTTCTTTGCACTTCAGCTTTTTGTATATGATACTTCCTGACGAAAATAGTCTTGCCCTAATCCCTTCCAACATATACGCACTCAATCGTTGCATAGGTTCCCCGGAAACCGATACTTTGTGCTCTAGGACATTCATCAGAACTTCTGCGGCCGGGAAATAAGCATCCGACACTGCTTCAGCACAGGCGAGGAGCAGCTCTTTCACGTCCAAGCTCGATGCGATTTCCAATACTCGATTCCACTTTGTTGGGGAAGAAGGTTCAGAGACCACATCATTAAAAGAGCAACAACTGCTGTCATCAATATCAGATTCAGGGCCTAGCAACTTATTTGCCATCTCACTTAGCACACCATCAACTCCCGAACAGCCACTCAAAGGTGAACCGTAAGTGTTGTCCGAGGAATGATGCTGATCTGAAATGGTTGACTGAGAATATTGGGGAGAGAAGGGACTCCAGTTGGAAGAGACGCTTACTGCAGGAGGCGAGTCGTAGATGACATATCCGGCAGCAGGCAAGGAGTCCAGAGTGAAGAACTGTTCGTTCTGCGACTGACAAGAGAACTGTGTCCCTGAGCTGCTAGTATCATTGGAGTTGTTGTTAAAAACATAGTAAGGACTATAATATTGCTCAACTTTCTCCATCGGTCTCTGGGATGCTTGCATCTGCGAATAAGTTATAGACTCGCTTCGAACTGGCTATGATACTTTAGGATAAATTCACGGTACTGTTTCAGAGCAAAGCTATCTTTGATTTGATAAAGTACACACTTAGTGAAGGAGGTGCGTTAGCGATCTGCAGACGTCTCTTAGTTAAAAGTAGTCACAACATTTCAGCAGACATGCCGAATGTCAAAACCAACAAAAATCTGCCAATAAAGAAAATTATGATCAGTTACTTGAAATCTTGATTAACTGGAAATTGGTAAAATGCAGTAAACGCAACAGGAGATTTTCCATAAAAGAACAAAGAACAAAAATGTAAATTGAATCAGCGTCGATGCAGGTCTGATCAATATGTGACGCTCTAAACCAAAAGTAGCAGTCCGAAAAGGGCTATGCGAAGACAAAGAAAGCATCCACATCTTTTTATCACAGCGGATCGATGACAATAAAGTACAAGAAGCTATTATCATTCATATTGGCCCAAATACCATGAAGACGAAGGACAGTTCATCAAATCAGAACATCCAACCACAGATCTCAAACTCCATACTGATTTATACCTCACAAACTGCGGTCATCCCTTCACCAGACACGGAGCTAGAAGGTCAGGTACCGTCGGTTCGGCAGAACCCCGTAGCTTTAGTCCAAACTTTGTATTTGTATTAATAAATGCACTAAATACATATAAAAGTTAAAGTCAGAACCCAGTTACTAATGCCTGATATTGTATCATAGAATTTAGAACCCATAAAGTTCAAATTCTGGCTTCGCCTCTTCCCTTCGCCAAGATACTATACCTACGCAGCCATGAATTGAAATAAATGAGACGAAACAACACACAAACACACACAGTGGATGAAGAAAAACAGCTCTTTAAACCTTAATTATGCAGTTCTAAACAGAAATGTGTAATTAATCAGTCATATAGTACATCTTGACATATCAAGGAAAGAACAAAAGAAAAAGAAAAAAAGACAATAATTAATGATGTTGTGTATGCATACCTAATTGAGGGAAGGCACATTTGAAAAAAGAAAAAGTGTAACCAACTCATATTAAGAAAAGAACAAGGAAAGACAGCTAATGCACTAAAAGATTAATTCATTATCTGTAACTACTAAATGAAGCAATAAACAAAGAACTAATTGCAGTGGTAGGCTTACCAAATACTCACAAATTTATCAAAAAGTAAACAAAAAATTAAAGTCAAAAACTCATTACTCATTAGCCATTCCCCTCATAGGCTTAGAAATGGAAAAAGGTACAAAAAAGAACCTATATTTCAGATTTGTGAACAAATGATATGCCTAACATCAGATTTCCATTAATACACTATGAACAGTGGATAATCTTCACAATCTTCAGATTCACAAGTAATCAAATTGTCATCATAAAGAGTTGGGCAAAGATCACTTTTAGCTCGCAGCTAAAACTATTTACATCATGTAGCCGCAAAAGTGTATAAAATCTGTATATAACATACAAAAATGTGTGTGTATATATTGTTTCGGCTATTATTTTAAGAGCACTAATATAGTGTCATTTTCCCTAAGTTCTCACCTCATCACCAAATTGACACCCCCCCCCCACACAAAAGAAGAAAAAACAAAATAAAATAAGGGACTTGTAAATCTTAATCAATTTATGTACAAAAACATTCAAATCATTGACTACTGAAAATTAACTCAGTAAAGTGATAAATTAGCATATTCAACATAATTCTTATGTAACTTGAGGGAAGTTAGACAAATGGGAAAAAAATTGGAAAAGGCAGAAACTTGTTCCCTGAAAATGGAAAAACAGAACAAAAAGAAAAATAAAGAATATAAAACCAAAAGCATACCTGGAAATAACTAAAATTCTTACAACTGAAGAATAGATTCAGAAAAAACACAGACCAGAAAGCCTTCAAGTTTAAGTTTTTTCTCATAAAAAGGAAGAAAAAACATGAACAAAGTCAAGCGCTTGCATTTAATAGCTAACTAATTACTTAGACTAATCAGAACTCCATACAAAATCAAATAATATCTAGTACTAAATAATAGATAAAGAGAAGCAAGAATTAAATTAGATAGTATTACAAACCTTCAAAAGATTGAGTCTTTTTTGATGAAACTCAATTTTTTTTTTGTTCAAAGAATAAAGAGAGGACTTTTGTCTAATATTGTTGATTGAAGAAATGAAAATCTCCATAGAGTTTTTGGTGCTTATTATATAGTCAAAATTATGACTAGAAAAAAAAAAGAGTTTTTGATGATTAAATATATTAAATATAAAAGGCTGGTTTCTTGATGATAACTACTTGAACTGCCCCTCCACCAACATGTGGACCACAGTTTGCTGGCACCCACGTGCGCAGTGCCTATTCCTAGTCTTATTTTTTTTTTATAGTATATATATTTTTTTGTTATCTTCCCCTCTGGTCTTTAGTTTATTTGATTTTTTTTTTTTTTAATGTCAGTTCAGAATATTCTCTCTGCCGCGAGAGACTATGTGATATTATCGGTAAAATACGGGAGAGATGTTGAGTATATAAGTAAACAAGTCATAAATCTAATGACACATTTTAAAGTCGTGCGGAACTAAGCTCAAAGCAAATAATATTACTAGTAGGTTGGGCTATTAAATATGTATCAGAGTCATTCATCGTGCAACCTTGAACGATAGTGGGACAAATCTCAACTAGAACGTTATGTCCCTAAGTGAATCCAACATCGACAAAATACGAAAGAGATGCTAGGTATATAAATAAATAAGCCTTAGACTCTAGTGATATATTTTAAGGTTGTACAAACTTAGGACCAAAGCAGACAAATAACTGATTTGCTATTGGCTGTTACAGATTCAAACTATTTCTGAATGCGGTAAAGCTGCAACAAACTAAAATTAGTAGGTTAATTGAACTTGGCCAAGAGAAAATAACGCTTTTATTTATTTACTTTAAATATGTAACAGTAACATCCTTTTATATGTAACTTTTTTTTTTCCGAACAAAGAACGTGATAATATTCTGTATTGAGGTCAGACTTGAACTCAAGATCTTTGTTACTTACTCTAATATCGTCCCAAGTAAAAAATATTAGAGGTGAAACGATTTACACAATTGAAAATGAGAATTAATATTAGAGTTGACGTTTGTGAGGTGGGATGTGAATTTGTTCGTAGGGATGTATTAAATAAAAAATGACAAATCAAACTATATATGTTTAGGCGCTAAACTATGGGTTATATACCTATAATCCATATATAAAATGTGTATAATTGTGTGTAATCAATGTATAAGTAATGTATATCGGCTATGAAAAGTAAATAGTAAATTCGACCGATTATTTGTGTACAAATCCTTTCTTTTTACTTTTTTCAAAAAAATAAAATGTTGGAAAAGTTTTTAAAAAGTATTGTTTGGAGAAATGATGTTCATATTGATTACCTGCTGAGAAACTTTTTTGGATAATATTTTGTGTTAGTATTTGTTAAACCTATTTTTGGGGCTCTGAAATAATTTTAATTTTATTTCTCATTGTGTTGCATGTTGACTCTAAGTTAAAGTAATGCATAAAATTACAAATTTTCGACTTCTCATTTTCACTATGATTCTTCAAAAAAAAAAAAAATCATGTTTAAGTAGAATCTAGTGACTCATTTCATTAATAGGCGGTAATCCCTTTTCAAGTTTTGATAGAAAACATTATATATAATTAACCCAAGATGCTTACTGTAGTCAGCCATAATCACTTAACTCACCAAACTAGCAACAATTTATTTAAAGTCAGTTATGGCTTGTCTTTTTCGTCTTATTTATTTAGTAGATTTTTGTGTCTTTTTAGTTAGATAGGCTTGGAAACATATACTCTCCCTATTTTAATTTACATGAACTTATTTGATTGGGTACAGAATTTAAAAAACGAGAGAAGACTATTAAATTTGTAGTGTATAATATGACACATATAAATTATTACATAATGCTAAATTATTTCCAAATCTAAAAAGAGATCATTTTTTTTACACGAACAAAAAAAAAGGTTCACATCCATTGAAACAGGGAGAGTACAATAGATTGCTTAGTACTACTCTTGCCCTATCTCTAAAGTGAATTTTGTACGCCATTTACCACTAGGGACAGAGTTAGTGTGCGGGATACGAGTTCGATCGAATATAGTAGTTTTTGTCTAACTCTATATTTATCATAAGAATTTTATTAAATATATATAAATTATTAATTTAGAATCCAATAATTTAAAAAGAATACAATCCCGAACTTATAAACTTCAAATCCTGATCCGGTTAATCTAATCACCGACTTAAATCATACACTCTATAGATAACCCGTTGACCTTACCAACTAAGTAACACGATGTGCATTTATTTCTATTTTGAAGGGCTAAAACAATAATACTACTGGTTTAAAATCCCAAACATCGTACAGTACTTTAGTCTTCGACTTCGAGAATGCTAACGTTAGCGAAAGCATAGGCAGGTTGCATATGTACGCAAGTTATGGAAGCCAAAGCGTCAAATGGCAAGTCACGTAAATAAAACAGAAATCAAAGGTTAATATTCTGTGTGTAGATAAAGACCGCGTTTGGATTGGTTTTTATTCGCCAATCTTACCCGGAAGGTGGAGGCCAACATTTATTTTACACACACTAATAAATTAATTTTTTCTCACATGTTTTAAACCAAATTCATTTATTATATATAAAACTATTAATTGTTGATTTGTTGTATAGTAACCTCTAAAAGACGAAATGAAGATAATGACATGGAAACAAGTAATGACCTTCCCTGGTCCTTCTCTTCTCTTACTTTTATATATTTGCCTATTTTTAGATCCTCCCAAGTTCTTTCCTTTGTCATTTTCATGCCTTTTATTAGTCATCTAATTCTTGTGCCATTTTCAGCTATGGTGTTCTATCTTGGGGCTAACTAGGGGTCAGTCATGATATAGAAGGTTCTTAGATTGTACACTTGAAAAAGTAGATGTAGTGATCAATGACGTACGCAAAAAAAAATTCACAATAATAAATGTTTATTGTTACATCCGATTTGCTAGTAAATGTAAGAAAGAGACTGATTATTTTAAAACTTTATTTCTATCCAAAAATTAGTGTTTAAGTTTATATATTTTTAATTCAATGTTAGCTTGTTGTATGTACATATTGTTGCTTAGAAAAATTATTGGCTAGCGGCTAAGTCACAAGCTGATAACTAACTATAGTTAAGCTTAAATATAATGTTAACTATAGTTAGTTAGCTAGAAGTTAGTAAAGTCGGTTAGTTAGTTAGAAGTAGTTAGTTTGTTAGATACTATAAGCGAGTGTACATAACATAGTTTTTGAAGAAATGAAATGAGCTTATGCTCTTCTTCTTTGATTTCTTCTTCTAGATTCTTCTTCTTCCTCATTAGCTTCGACCACCATATCCATGACTGTTAACATGGTATCAAAGCCATTAGTGTAGATCTAAGCTAGTTTGCAAACAAATCTCGTCTTCTAGGTTGCTTCAATTCTGCAATTTGAGGTGCTGAATGGTCTTAGAGTAACCTTCGATCGAAGCTAGGATTTGTGAGCTATGTTCTCTTAAGCCAATTTCTCATTCAACAATGGCGATTGAAGATAACCAAATCAACAATGCCACTCATGTTCACACTACCACGACTTCATCTAATTGAAATTTTCATGATTGGTACAACTACCTTTCTCTCCATCGATCATAATAATCCTTTATACCTATAGCCAGCAGACACACCAGGTGGTTCTCTGATCTCTCTTCAACTTACTGGATCTGATAACTATGCTTTGTGGTGTCGTGCAATGAGATTGGCTTGTTAGGTAAAAGTAAACTAGGATTTATCGATGGTAGATTTCGTAAGTTTTAAGTTTGAGTCTGAGCTTCATGATTTGTGGGAGAAAGTGAATGCTATTATTCTGTTATGGATAATGAATGCTGTGATGCCAGATTTTCTAAGTAGTGCCCTAGATGCATCCAAAGCTCATAAAGTTTGGGAAGATTTAAAAGAGAGGTTTGATAAAGTAAATAGCTCCAGAATTCTGTACTTACATAGGGAGGTACACACTTTGATACAAGGAACCATGACTGTAACAGACTATTTCTCCAAACTTAGTATCACGACCCAAACCAATCCGTCGTGATGGTGCCTATCGTGGTACTAGGCAAGCCGACTATTCAGACATTTCCAACACTTTAAATCATTGAAAGATACTAAAACAGTTTAAATAAAGGAAAATCTCTTAAAGTAGGATATGAAATCTCATCTCAATACATAAATTCTTCCCAAAATCGGGGTGTCACTGAGCAAATGAGCATCTACGAAAAGGACAAAGTCTGGTACACTTTCTAATAAGCAATACTGAGTAAATAAATTAAAATATAAGGGAAGGAGAGTCAAGGTCTACGAACGCCAAGTAGCTACTTCGATGATCTTCGAAGGTCTGGAATCTACAAGTCAGCAACCGTGGTGATCGGAAGCACCTGGATCTGCACATGATGTGCAGGGTGTAACGTGAGTACAACCAACTCAATAAGTAATAAATCTAACTTTTGGACTGAAAGTAGTGACAAGTCCAACCATTACGGTCCAATTTCAACATTTAATAGTACGGAAAGTTACGGCAAAATATGACAATGAAATCTCATATATTTATATTCCACAAATGAAGGTACAAGAATTTAGACATGCTTTCAAAAAGAACTTAAACATGCTTTAAGATTTCACAACAAAACTTAACACATAACATGGCAGATTTAGCCCACATGCAAAAAAAAAAACAGGGCAGATCCAGCCCAAATGTCATAACTGCTAGCATTGTGCCCATTGTGGGTGTGCAGACTCCGGAGGTGCCGATCAAGCCCAAGCGCTATAATAAACCAAATTCCGGCATCAATAAATAAAGCCTGCTCCGGTGTGCAGTCCCATCCCATAAATATCACTCATAATAGGCCCTCGGCCCTACTCAGTCAATAACCTCTCCAGTCTCTCGGGCTTACCAGAATCATGATAATCATCCCACAAATGATGATATGATATAACATGTAAAAACAACAAAGACTGATACATAATATGGAAGTAATAACTGTAACTGAGTACAAATTTATAGATTAAGCAATTAGATCTATAACAAGAAACGACCATTGTGGGTCCCAAGAGTACCATCATATGGCCTAAGGAG